ATGAAGACGAGGAGGAAGAGGAGGAGGAAGAAGAGGAAGAAGAAGGTGTGTAGCAACCCACTTTCTGAGGTCTAGAGTGATCTGTGGGCTAGCACGGGAGCAAGTTCTATAGCCATTGTGATCTTTAACCTTGATAAAACTTTGAGAATTCCAAGACTTAAGTATGAAGCAGCATTCACTTTGCTGCCAAGAGCTTCTTCCAGAGCCTTTAGATCACATCAAGTGGTTGGGGAGGATAGCGGTGTTTTAGAGAAGTGGCTGGACTGTGGCAGAGGTAGAGAAAGATGAGGGAAGTCCTGGATGGAAGCCCATGGTCTAGAGGGAAAAGCTCTGCTCTGGGTTAAATAGCTTGAAAGTTGTCTCTCCAGCTCCACCAGCTGGTGACTGAAGGAAATACCTGCCCGGCCCTGTGAGGATCTAAAAGGCTTCACTTCTGAATGGAAGTGTTGAAAACTCACACACAGTCCAGCAGAGGTTCAGAAAGGAAAGTGAACGCCATATCACACAACCTGGCTTATCTCTCTTACATTTTTTGTGTCTTTCAGAGGAAGAAACTTAAACCAGTGATGTGGAGCTGGAGTTTATCCTTCCACCGAGACTATGAGGGCCTTTGACGCTTAGTGGAATGTGTATCTAACTTGCTCTCTGACGTTTAGCAGATGAAATAAAATATACGTCTGTTTAGTCTCCTTCATCGTCTATCTGCGTTAACGATTTACAACCCTTTCTTCAAAGATTCCTGGCAGAGTGGGGATGAGATTCAGCAATTTCTATGTGGAATTCAGAATGTGGGTGTCATCATTTGTTGTAAGAAGTTCATTTCCACAAGCACGAGTGCCTGCTGGCTGTGTGAAGAGCCAACTGTTGCTTTTGGAGAGTTCACTGGGAGGAGCTGGAGTGCAGAGCGCGAGTACAGCACAGAGCAGGGCGTGGATGAGGTGGCGCTGCTGCGCATGAGGGAGGCTGCCACGGAGAGCTTGATGGATGTCCCGCTGGCTGATTGTGTAATGGTTTGTGAACTGTTGTTAGGCTTGGCTTGGGCTGGTGACAGTCTCAGGCCTGTCCCTACAAAGCAGTGTGTCATAAGAGCTCTGGATGTTTAGGATATGTAAACTTTTTTTTTTTCTTGAGACAGAGTGTCTGTCGCCCTGGCTGGAGTGCAGTAGCACAATCTCAGCTCACTGCAACCTCTGCCTCCCAGGTTGAAACGATCCTCCTGCCTCAGCCCCCCTAGTAGCTGGGATTACAGGCATGCACCACCATGCCTGGCTATTTTTTGTAGAGACGGGGTTTTGCCATACTGGTCAGGCTGGTCTTGAACTGACCTCAGGTGATCCACCCGCTTCGGCCTCCCAAAGTGCTGGGATTACAGGCGTGAGCCACCGCACCCAGCTGAGGGTATGTAAACTTCTGTATAAGTGGACGTTGTTCTGTTCTGGACGCTTTCTAGAGTAATTACCCTGCCAGGTGTTAATGCTGAGCTTTCTGTAGTATCTAAGCCTCATATAGAAGTGTGATGCTGGCAGGAGTAGTACCATTATGAGGTGAGGAAACAGGGATGGTGGCTCAAACCTCTAATCCCAACACTTTGGGAGGCCAAGGCAGAAGGATCAGTTTAGCCTAGGAGTTTGAGACCAGCCTAGGTAACACAGGGAGACCAGGGCCTGTCTCCACAAAAGAAAATAAACTATTAGCCAGTCATGGTGCTTCCACCTGTGGTCCCAGCTACTCAGGAGGCTGAGGTGGGAGGAGTGCTTGAGCCCAGGAGTTCAAGGCTGCAGTGAGCTATGATCACACCACTGCACTCCAGCGTAAGTGACAGAAGGAGACCCTTTATCAAAAAAAAAAAAGCCAGGTGCAGTGGCTCATGCCTATGATCCTGGCACTTTGGGAGGCTGAGGTGGGTGGATCACTTGAGGTCAGGGGTTCGCGACCAGCCTGAGCAACATAGCAAAACCCCGTTTCTACTAAAAATACCAAAATTAGCCAGGCATGGTGGCACTTGTAATGCTAGCACTTTGGGAGGCTGAAGCAGGATCACGTGAGCCTGGGAGGTTAGGGCTGCAGTAAGCCATAATTGTGTCACTGCACTCCAGCCTGGGTTACAGTAAGACTCTGTCTCAAAAAAGAAATAAGACATCCCTACTTTTTTTTTGGCAAAGTATTTTGCCTAACCTCTCTGGCTCCAGTGCTTATTCAACAAATACCTGAACTTCCGTATGACAGATACTGGACAATTTCTGCTGAGGGAGCTTTTCTCTGATGTTGACACAGACTAAAGAAAGTAAATGACATTCGGCCAGACATGGTGGCTCACGCCTGTAATCCCAGCACTTTGGGAGGCCGAGG